GATTTTTGTACTTGCCGGGAACCTGTTTCGCTAATTAATAATTCTTTGTCTATTGCCTATTGTGTTTTCAATTAATCGCCTTTATTGTTAGCATACGTTATATATTTTTTATTGCTTCTTGACTCATATGTATGATTCACACGAACAACAAAGATAAATAGGCTCACGAAAATCCAATCAACTATCTTTTGAGCTCGATGGAATCTTATAGCGTCATAGATATTAACTATTTAATTTCATTCATTAATACTCAGATAATATTATAAACTTAATTCAAACAAATAATTAACGTGTGTTAATAAATCTTAATGCCAATTGCAGGTTATCCTGGACCGAAGAGGAAACAATAACTGAAGTAGTTTCCTAGTTTAGACTTAACCACTTATTCATGATACAGATATTTTCCTCCATAAAGTCGACAAAGTTCCTGAGTAAACGTCAATTCAAAATATATATCTCAGAAATAGGTCCATTTGTTTTCAGCCAGCATTCTGACCCAGTGGTACGTTTGAATACAAAACTATTTGCTTGGGTTGCTTAGAAACAAATCAATTAAAAAAATAATAAGACCGACCTGTGTAATACAAAGGTGGAATTAGTTTTACATTATTCAAAAAGAAAATATTCTAACTTTCAAATAATCCGCTTGATTTCTAAATGAACCGTAATCGATATATATATGTGTGTGTGTGTGTGTGTGTGTGTGTATATATATATATATATATATATATATATATATATATATATATGTATGTATGTGTATATATAATTTTATTTGGAAATCGAATAAAGTATCGATTCCTGTATAACAACATGCAATAAATGTGAGATTATTTCGAAAACGAACTATATTTGGCGAATATAACAGTATATAACAGTAATGGCGAAGGAAAATATTGTATTTTTTAGGCTTATGTCGCCGTAATTATTATAATTATAAACTTCTCCATTGGACACTTAAAATCTTTAGGGTCTCCTTTTTCTATTTACCACATTAAAATTGAAAAAATATTCATTTATACAAGTAAAATATCAAAATCTTTATTTAACTATAAAGATAAGATAACATAAATGTCCAACTCATTCTTAGCAAAACTATTAGTAGGAAGGTATGAAACACACTGATCTCAAAAGCACTATAGAAAGAACAATGATATGTATTTTAAAATTTTTTTTGGAAACTTTGTTCATTCAGTTGTCATTAAAGGATATTGTTCTTCAATTTAGAAAAAACTGGAACCTTTAAATCAAAAAGGAAGCTTATTATTTATATTTAAATTCCAATCTGTCCATCACTATTGCGTTCACCTTAAAAAGTGGGGTGAAAATAAGGTTATTTCCAATACCGACCTTTTTTTTAAGTAATGTAAGGATACATAATAATATAATATTTATTTATTATTAACTATTTCCTTAATCGCATTTCCATTTTCGTGATATCTAAATAGGTAGAGTTGTTAATAACAGATACCGTTAGTGCTATTAGATACAGACTCCAGCCGGTGTAAACTGTGAAATAGATGGTCCCTGTACCCGCTGGAACACTGATAAATGCTCCAGTTCCAGCATAACTGTTACCTCTGGAACCGCAATTGTTAATATACATCCGGTAATATTAATTGTTTAATTAACTTCATTCATGCATCTATTACAATATTTTTTTTAAATTTCTTTATTGAGTATTATAACAATCTGTCTGTTGGACAAATTATTAAATTATTATTATTATTAAAAACCATTAAATACTATAATAAATCAATAAGCCTATGTTGCAAAAATAACAAATAATTTTTTATTTGGTAAAAATAAAAAAATAATATTAAAAAAAATTAATTTAGACTATTGAAAACTCATAAAGAAGCAGAAAATCAATATTAAGTCATAATTGGAAAACATGTACCAAAAAAAAAAATAAAGAAAAGAGATGAAAAAATGAAGTACTATATAAATGATTATTCTTTGTTTACTATGTTTATATAGTCTATTGCTCTTAATATTTCTATATACTTTCTATTCATACTGTATATAATTTTGATAAGTTTATTCACACAGTTTATAACAGTTTTCTCAAAATATCATGTAATTTCCACATCATTCCATATCCTTTTGCATCCTGTTCGTTCTGGCCCTGATGAAGATCTGCAAAATTTTGAAGAAATAAAAGTTTTTTCACAATTTTTTTATGACCGCCACCGCGAATCATCCCTTCCTCAACAATATCCAACGGTCAACCATCGAGTATTCAAACTCACAGATGAAAAACATGTAATTACAACCAGAATTCATAAATATACCACAATAAAATAAAAAATAATAATATTCAAAAGAAACGAAAAAACAAATACGAAAGTGGAAAAATGGAAATCCACATCAAAACAACGTTATCGTAAAACACTACTGATGGCGAAAAGTTAATGAAACAAAAACAAATTAGCCAAATTTATTAGACTTATTCAAGATGTTTACCGTTTCAGAATAAAAGTTATTCAAATGTTTACTGTCAGTCCTATAATTAATAGCATTATTATAATTAAATTAAAATAGCCTAAGTGAGAAGAATTTTATAATCATAACATTTTAAAAATAATACAACATACAATGCTCTAATTAATTTTAGTTAATTAATAAATTTCAGTTAATGTCCTTCAAAATTTGGGATGAAGCCATAACTTCATGGCCACCCTAATATTATATATAATACACACCGATATAATCTTTGATGTGGTCTGAATCAGTAGCGAATTCAGGATTTTTTTGTCATAATAACGGTAATTACAACAATAATAATGCTTTTAAAAATAAAATTTCTTCGCTTTTAAGTTTTTATTTTCTGCTTTGTGGGGATTAATTATGTTCGAAATTCTAGTCTCAACATTGCATTATTATTTTTTTATTTTTTGTTTTATTTAGGTTTCACATCTCTTAAAGCTACTTATTCGCGTTCAAAATATTTTTTTTTTCCTTTCCGTGAATTTTTATCTTTATAAAATTCGAATAAACAATAAAATGGCACCTTAAAAGGAAATTTAAAACTGAATGGAACGTAGAGAGGAAAAGTTAGTAGAAAAGTAAATTACTGAGAATTTATGAAGTGCATTAAAAAATAAAACTTTTCTCGGGAAAAACAATCTTTTCACTACTTCCATAAAACTTATGACTCATGTTCAATTATTATTATTATTATTATACTCTAGGTGTATTGAAAATTAATTTCGAAAAAGATTTAATTAATATTATCTCTTAAAGGATAATTCTAAATACAGGTAAATAATTCATATTTATAACTATACTAAAACATAAAAAAATGATGCGGATTGCGCATTACTCTAATTTCACATACCAAACAACCTTACATATAAATTAATTTATAGTAAATCATTAAATTTTAAGAGCTTTACTATAACAATGAATATGAACCTGCGAAAATTATGACAATGTCGTAAAATATTTATTTTCGGTTTATAAAAGAGAAAATAAATTTTTGGAAGTCTCAATTTCGCTTCTAAGGAAATTACATTTAGCTTCCATAGAAATATTAATTTTATTTTTCCATAACATTAAGGTTGAAATTATATTAATTATCTTAATTACTTAATATGTTATGTGTTAATGTTTCGAAAATCTGTAGCTCTCCAACGATTTATTATACATGCATATGTATATGTTGCGACTTCCGTTTACATAAATCTCTTTTCAACCTGAAAAAATATTTCTCATTTGTTTGATTATTAAGTCCTTCCATAGTTTATAAATATATATTTTTATGCTAATGAGAGGCGATCAATTAATTCATATAAACAAAATTAAACTTTTTTATAAGCATTTTCAATAGTCTGTTTCAATAAGGATGACATCTAACAGATATAAAGATCATTTAATTTTACTTCTATATAAAATTTTAGTCAAAATCGTAATAACCGTTTTCGAAAAAAAAATGTGTAAAATAAACGACATAAGAAGGCAACATAAGAAATCAATTCTAGCTAAAAATTTACTGTAATATCCTAGGCATATACCTTCCTCAAATATGTAATTTCTGTTGCGTTCAACTTCTTGTTTTCTAGCAAAACTATTCACATAAACGGAGATCATTTTGGGGGAGTTGCTAATTTGGACACAGTGGACGTAAAACGCGTATTTCCGTTGAATACTTTAAATATTTCATGATTCAATATTTTCTCTTAATACATAAATTTTATATTAAATTAACAATAACAAACAAAAAAATAAATAAACTGACTGGTATAAAATACAAAGGTGCAATTAGTTTATTCTTGTATATTGAGTCATAATATTGTTTTCATAAAAATTAAATCGAATGTTCTATCAACAAAGAATAAAAAATCCATTGGATATGAAAAATATAAAATACAACCCAGATAGGTTTCTGACTTCCAAATTGAACCATAATCGATTTTTTATAAATCGAGATATGTGTTAATTCCTAAATAAAAATAACCAATGAATTTGATGGTGAAATGATTTTTTTCCCAAAATGTTACTAAATATTTAAACAAGTTGTGTAAAAATAAATTAATTTATTTTTTATGATAAAGGAATGTAATTTGTTTAAGTAAAAAAAAAAATCCTCAATTTTTTGATCGAATGATTATTAAATATTAGTTTATTTTATTGTAAACAATAAAAACTATTGAATTAATAATTTCTTTAATAATTATTTTTCGTAAAAAAATAATTAATGATTTTTGTGCTACAAATGAAAAAAATCTTTATTTATTATTTAGAAAATATTGTTTTTGATATTAAAATAGGAATAGAAAATATAGTTTGTCGCGTTTCATGAAAATTTGTCCATGATGGTTAGGGATCATTCCGTAAATAACTGATTCATACAAAGAAAAGTGAAAGTAAAAATAATTACCACTAATAGAATATGAAAAATAAATAATTTGTGGTCATAAACATCGGTTCTTATTCCGTGGATGAATCTCACTGGTTTAGAAAAAGAATTTTAACATGAGAAATTAATAGTTACTCACGGCTTTTGCCTGGACCGAAGGAGTTGCTGGTGCCCCTCGGCATTCCGATAGCAACGAGAAGGAACAGAGGAAGAAGACGAGGAAGATAGAAGTGGACTCCATAGCGAACTGAGAGGAAAGACCAGCTGGAGGTGTATATATCTGATGGCCGTGAGTCACCCGAGTGATTTCGTCTCCACCGAGACTTCGCGGGTCAGGGAGGTTAAAGTCTCCTATAGGCGTACAGAATAGGGTCAGAAATATAATTTTTATCTAGGGAGAACAAATTATTCAACAAATTAATAAAAAATTATTCCCTTTGTTCAAAACTCATCAATTAATTAACAGTATTTGAGATATATTGGGAGTGGGGTTGCTAACTGGTAGGGCGTCGAGCTTTCATATGCTCAAGGTGCAAGGTTCGAATCCTGATTTATGGCAGACAAATTATTTATTCTGTTTCATCGGCAGCGGATCATCCCTGGGGTCAAGTGACCTTCTTGTGGCACACCAAGCCTCTATAAAGTGGGTAATATTAATTTAATAATTAATGAAGGAGAAAAACCTAGTGGTTGAGCATGATTTCGGTCAAATCATCCCCTTGCACAACTTCTGACCAAGAAACAATAATTTCCCTAAATAGTACTGACCCCAGACCTTTCACGGGTTGTAGTGATACGGGTTTTTGAGATATAACAGTTCTAACAATACCAAAGCCATTTTTATAAATTTTACAATGATGCGCGGAAAATTTATTTTGTGTTTAGAAATTATAGCTAGTCCTATAAAAAATATTTACTGATAGCATACAGGATGTCCCGTAATTAGAGGTAAATATTTATGGCGGTGATAGCACACCGCATGAGCTATAAAAATTTTGCATTGGTTCGATTTTTTTGGCAGAAAAGTAGGAAATTTAAGTTCAGTGTGTGTTTAAATATATCGTGTTTTTTTTATGAATACGGAGCGATAACTAAAGAAATATTTCATTTAAGTAATTAAGAATTGCTTCAATGTAAACTAGACAAAATTTACTTCGAGTGAAAATAGAGTTTAACATTGTTAATAACATTTTTTTTTTCTTAACTTAATTTTTCAACTCAAACCTGTCAGAAGTTCCGACAAATAGGTCATGGAATAGGTGTGAGGAAGAGGAGTGACCTGAAGTTAATATTTATAGTTAGTGGAGAAGATCCCTCATCCAGCTTCTCTTACGTCTCCTTCGGGTGCTATCACCGTAGTTGTGGGCATGCCTCGAATCAATGAGTTGGTATGTCCGTGTAAGTTATTGAGGAATCTTTTGTAGTGTATTAGTATGTGCGTTCTGTTGGCATCTGTAGGTGTTTATGTTAAGTAATGTAACTTAAGCGAGCCTTGGTTATAGTCCTGAAAGTTTTTGAATGAAAATTCTGTAGTTTACGTATGTGAGTCTTTTTAGCTGTCTCGTATATCTGTGAAGCGTAGGTCCAAATGGGCTTAGGTAGGTAAGTATACGTGTTCAATTTCTGTCTAAGTTTTAATTTCGAATGTCTTAAAAGGAATGAGTAAAATAGCTGTAGTCCTAGGATTAGAGTTTTCGTTTTGTTCTTGATATGTGGGCTCTGTGTGTTAATAACATTTAAAAAGGAACTTTGAGAGGATAAACTTAGCTGTGATGTGTTTTTAAGAAAATCATAAATCATTCGAAAGAAAATTCTACTACAGATATCCACTTTTCAAAAAAATTTTCGTTTAATAATCTTTAAGTCCATATTAATTAAGTTCATGTTCATTAGGAAAACACTTCAAATCCACCTCAAATTACAATAAAAACTTATCTTATTTAATATCTTGTCACCTTAAAATACTCGTGTATACGAGACATCCTGTATATTCATTATGGCAAGTAACGGATCCAGAATTTAATTTTAGGGGTTGAGAGGATATATTTTTTTTTTTTTTTCCAAAAATGGTAATATATTATATATATACATCAATAAAAACAGTGAAAAATGTATATTCTTCCAACTAAAAATATTCTCGGAATCTCCACAAAGCATCAATAAAACAGTTTATCTAGTTTTTGGAATTCTAAAAAAAAAAAAAAATTATTTAGCCGATGTTGCGAGTTGTCCCTTACTCGTCCCACTGTGCGGCGTCGCGTTGAGATACAATTTTGAATAATAGTTCGTTACAGAGAGGATAAAATGATGAACATTTCCCTCATTAACAATATTAATGTCCGATTGTTAGTTTTTGACATATTTTAATCCATATGCAAAAACACTTCGTTATCACACAACTTTATCCGAGCGTTACACATCGGAGATCTGACGGCTCAATCTAATTCACTCCCCATAAAAAAAAAAAATGCAAAACGCGCCTAAAGAAGTTTTAACTTCAAAAATATCCAGGTATGGCTCCTGCGCTCACAGTAATTAACTTATATCCTCTTTGTGAGTGAGAGAACAACAAACCAAAGCACTTCTGGGCCATACGTTTAAGGATAGTTTTGTTTTATTACTTAAATATTAAATTGGAGGGATTTTTGGATTGAGACGAGCTAGTCACTTATTATACTTGTTACTTTAACAGTCGTTGTAAGGTATAAGCTTCACTAATTGTGTGTAATATATAGACTAACTTAATAATATAATATTGCACGATATATAAGAAGAAACAGACATATTTGATATGACGCATGTATGGCTGAGAAGAGTAGCTAACATGAGCTTTCTCACAGATGTATATTAGTAACTCCATAAGAGAAAAAAAAAACTATATGTAATGATGTATAAGGGTAGTTTAAAAAAAATGTAATTACAGGAACAAAAATGCATATAGAGATAATTTTTTCCTTGCCCTTACATTTATTAGCTAAAAATGCTATATAATTTAAAAAGAAACAATATTGTGAATGCATAAGTATTAAGCTGAGATCTCTAAAACAGAAACAAGTACTTACCAATGAAAAAAATATATTTATTTTTTTTGAGAGGCTCAGTCCGAAAGCTTCCTCCGAAGATCTGCCAGAGATTAAACGTTATATATCTTACAAGAATGAACTGTAATTGAAATATTCACCCCACTATTAACAGCCCAAATTTATTTTTATTTTATTTATTTATTCATGATATTTACAACTGTATTAAAAAAAAAATAGATCCAGGAAATTCGTACAATGGATTTAATCACATGAAAATACTTGTTGAGAAATTACCCACTGGCATCACTCCAATATTATGTCTATATTACAAGAGATCACGAGGTCATCTTCTTTTCAGACGCCAAGGAGGGTTATGAGGATTTGAAGAGAAAGCAAGGTTGGAACGACGAAGGTTAAGAGTAATTTGATGGGACTTAATGGAATTTATTTTACTTCTCCAGTTTTGACACCATTCGTGTCACCACAATTGTGATATGCAATTGTAGAGTTTGGGAGGCAATTGATGGATCGTTATTAACTAATAAGATGCTTGTGTCATCGGCAAACGTGGTGATGTGGTAGGATGAATTGGAATATATAAACTGTATAAAGGATAGGAACTACGACATTATCTTGAAGAACACCAACAGACTGAGAAAAGAGGGATGAATAGGCGTTGTTGTGATTAACTTTGTATCTATTAGTAAAATAGGAACAGGAAATGACGGAGTATGTATATTACCAATAAATATAATACATGTGTGGGCGGGGTGGCCGAATGGGCTAACGTGTGTGCACAGCACCATTGTTGCCTGGCAAACCTGATCTATGAAACAATGAATTAAAAATAGTCACGAGTTTGCGTCTCGGTGCAGCGGGTGTCTTTTAAATCTCCGCCCACACTCCTTGGCCCTGTAAACAATTGTATTTTCTTTAATGTTGTGATACTCTGCCCACCAATGTCACAGGAAACATTATCTCAAGTTGTTTTACTTCGTAATTTACTACTTTCACCATGTTGACGATTATGTTTAATTCAAATAATGATAGTCCATTGTTTATCGAGAAAAATGTTAAGTAAGGTTACATGCAGTATAAATCTTGATATCAATGTATGTAGCCTGATTAAACTATTTACAATCATGGCTCTCACGTTGGTAACTATTGATTTGACGAGTTTTGGAATAGCATGGTATTTAGACAAGTTAAAAAAAAAAAATAAATAAAAGAACCTAATTTCTTCATTTAACCAAGTTTCTAAGGATTTCGAAAAACTATTAAATTCTTTGTCATATTACATTCCACTGGAAATCGATATCATTGAGATCTATCTATGTAAAATTAATCAGTGAACAAAAATTAAAATTAAAAGATAAGGCTGTTTTTTTTTTTTGCTGGTTGGCATCTCTGTTTTATATCCGCAAATATTGGAGATGATTCTATAACAGGCATGGACCGACCGATTAACTTTTTTGCGTATTAGGCACATTATGAGCGTATTCTACACTTCTGGTATTAATTCTTTTGCCCAAATTGAAATGACCATGTTCTGGAGGATTTTTTCAAGCTCACTTCCTCCATACTTAAAAAATTTAATAAATCATCAAAAATTATAGCCGTATTACTTTTAGGCTTAGCTAGTGAATAAAATTTGTCTTCTTTTCTGGATGTTACATACTTACATAGATCACTTAAGATATCTTCGAGAGTCCCCCCCCCTCCCACGATCTTCGTTGAGATGCTAAGAAAGTGTTTCTTCCACTATACAAGTACTTCCTCCATGTTGACATGTAGTTCTCTATCCTCATTCAGAGTATAAGTTGATTTTGCTTTGTTGTATGTTTTCCTTACATGTTCACCTGCTGTGTAGACTTTTCTTCCTTTCGTTTCAGCTAAGGAATACAATTTTTTCCTACTCAATTTTCTCCTACTATCATTTTTTTATAAATATGGAGATATTTTTCCATTCTTTTCTGCCTATATGTTTGAATTTTTCTATTTCTCGCTCATTGAACCGGCGCTATTCCTACAGTGATAATTAAAACGTAATTTTTTCATTCTATTTTTCATCCTCTGAATACTCTCACATTTAGGAGATTGGATATAAGCCTCTTCCTAACAAGGATATGAACAATCTGGTTAAGAGTTTATCTTTCAGGTGTTTTCCATGTTTCTTTGTGGATTTTTTTATGGAGGAAAAGGGTATGGCTATTGTAAG